TTTGTTTCTAAATTATTATTATCAGTCCTTTGTTCTCAAAGAAAGTGCCCCATGTGAGAACAGGGTAAATGCACTTAACCCTTCCAAAATTTTGCAAGTTCATTACTTAGGGCCATTTCTGTGCTCTCCTGTCATCGGAACAGTGGTGATCAGTATGCCCTTTTTAAAATATTCCCCAAATGTAGATAGATCCTGAAATTTGGCAGCCTTGAATCTTTCAGGAGGGACAATGACAGTTACTTCTAATTCTGCCAAGAAATAAAACACGTTATTGGCAGATTCATTTTGGAAAAATTAAATGTTAATATCACAAAAATCTGACAGCAAACTGTCTGTGATTTGCAAATTTAATCTTTTCCTTGTGTCTGTAATTTTGTCCAATTCTGAGAAGATGTATTTAAAGCCATTTTTGAATTTCCACTGATAGTCATTGGTAAGGACAAATCTTTGGATTCCTGAATCTCAACTTACATTTGGGACCAGTGTCAAATCAAACCTAATTTATTCATTTTCTAAAACACCACATCTGGTTGTACACTTAATATTGAGGTTGATGCAAATCTCTACCTCCTGTTTTGATGCCAGAGAGGACATGTAACAAGGCCATTGGTTTGACTTTGACATTTACATTACTTTTTTCTGTCTGTCATGAAAGATTATTTGAGGTTTTCTGCCTGTCAATTTGAGATTACTGTAGAAACTAATACATTGTATCTGTAGCTCAACAGTATTTAGATCCCTATTTAATTCACTCCTTTTTAATCAGAGTGCCCTATTTAATTCGTACTGCATTTGTAATTTTGTTTTAAGTTACATTTTAATGTTGTTATGAATTTAATATATTTTTGGGGGGGTGAATGTTCTTTGTATTGTATGGGATTGTGCTTTTAGATTGTAAGCCACCTGGATAGCCTCAGCTAAAAGACATATTGCTTCTTTGGGCCTCAGCACACGGAGGCCCTGGAGCCGCCGCCGGACGGAGCGCCGGCGGTGCGGAGCCTCCGCACCGCGGCGCACCGTCGGTGCATCTAAAAGGAGCACCAAATTGGCGCTCCTTTTAGATCTAAGGGAAAGTGCGCCCCAAAAGCGGCGGGCGCACTTTCCCCGGCTCAAACGGCGCAGCGCATGTGGGCGCTGCGCCGTGAGGTCATCCCCAATGCGCCGGTCGTGCGGACGGCCGGCGCATCTGGGGGCGACCTCGGGGAGAGGAAGGGGCGCTGCTCGTGCGGCTGCCCCTCCTCTTCTCTGCCCAGAAGACGACTTTTTTAGTCGTCTGCTTAGGGCCTTTGTCTTTTGAAGCAATATACTAAGATGAAACTCTGGATCCAAAAGACATTTACGAATTAAGTTTCCACTAAAGTCAGTTAAACTTTCATTCTTCCACTGAATTCAGTGATATATTTCTTCAGATGTATTTCATTTAGGATGAGATCAAGGGGAATTATGCTAGAGAATTTCCTGCAATGAAAGACTAATGAAGACTGTTCTGATAGTTCTGAGTTTTCAAGTTTTAAGGAAAGTAATTACTGACATGTAAAGTGGCAGCACTTCTGTTACCTTGGATGCATGCAGCAACTTGTCTCAGATGCGTTTTGTAATAATTTCCTTAAAGAAAAGGGGGGAAAAAGTAATACTTGTTGCAAATGAAACTTATCTTGAATCAAGTATTTAACCAGTAGGTGGCAGTGGTTCATCATAATATTTTGTATTTACTTTCCCATTGAAGACTTTAATGGCATTTTATGCAAATTAAATGAAGAAAAATGTTGCTTTGTGGTTTTGCATTATTTCAATGAACTTTGAATAAGTTCAAAATGGCAATGGGCTACTGGGAAGAAGGAATTGGCTGCATTTTCCAAATTGGCTGTTTGTATGGCACCATCTAATTTATTTGCTGGTTTTATTGATTTATCTACAGGCTTTGAGGGAGCCAATTGAAGGACAAACTTAGGAGTTTATCACACAGGGGCCAGTTTCGTCTTTAAAGAGATAATAAAGTGGAAATAAACCATCCCGAAAATAAAGTGAAAATAGAGGTTAATTGCACAAAAGCATTTCACACGTAATCAGAATAATTGCACAATCACACAATAACAGGATAAGCACTGTTCTTGCATTTCACACAGAAGTGAAAGAAATCCGCAAATGTACTAAAAATGCTATACTTCTACATGCACAGATGAAAGTTTAATTTGTGCGACACAGGAGTGTTGTTTGTGTGATTTCCTGTGCGACACTGCCTCTTCCTTCTGTTTGCCTTGTTAGATCGCAATTACAGTAATTCTGGGCCTCAGCAGACGGAGGCCCCGGAGACGCCGCCAGACTGCAGCCTCCGTACCGCGGCGCTCCTGCGGCGTATCTAAAAGGAGCTCCAAATTGGCACTCCTTTTAGATTTCAGGAAAAGTGTGGCCTAAAAGCGAAGGGCGCACTTTCCCTGACTCTTCCGCCGTGGCGCGTCCGGTCGCCGCAGCGTGAGGTCATCCCCGAAGCGCCGGCTGTGCGGAGGGCCGGCGACTCCGAGGGCGACCTCAGGGAGAGGAAGGGGCGCCGCTCGTGCGGCTGCCCCTCCTCTTCCAGGCCTCCAAGACGGCTCAATTAGCCGTCTGCCGAGGCCCTCTGTTTGCCTTGTTAGATTGCCATTACAATCATTCCATTTGCCCAGTTCATATTTATGTTCATATTTATAACTACACATGCATGAAAATACACACACACACACACACACACTGACATTTATATAGTTATATATATTGTAAATATATATAACTATATATATATATATATATAGTTATATGTGCTTATATAGAAACATACATATCAATATACATATGTGTGTATATATATATATATACACACAAACATACACATCAATACTAATAAATATGTGTGTGTGTGTGTGTGCGTGTGTGCGTACACACACACGTATAACAACATATAACTATATATAACTATACATATCTATATATAATATAGATATCTGTGTGTGCGTGCACACATGTGCGCAGAGACACACACACAGAGTTATTAATATTTATATGTATGTTTGCTATATATGTATATATGTGTATGA